AGTATATATATATATATATATATATATACCCCTTTTGGTGATGTGATTAACGGGACCAAAAGAAAACAACACCAACAACAACCCACGACCACACACACAGCTCCCATGGGTCAGCTCACGCCACCTTTAACCGCTTGCATACGTGTCCATTGTCACTCTGCAAACGGTACAGTTCAGGCTCCGGCACCTCCACACACAGGCAGTGGGCTATATATTCCAGTTTGTAAACTGGTAGATGTGTGGTGACAGTGTCTAGCTGTGATGGCTCCCACACGTCATCGCCCGAGAGAACGAGATTCAGTTCCCTCACCGCCTCAGCATTGCTCTCCAGCGCGTTCAGCAGCTGGAAAGGAGAGTATGGGCGAACTACGCAACAGCCTCCACTCCGCAGAACATGCGAAAGACTTTCCGTCCGCGACTCCTTTGTACAACAGAGAGCAACACGCCACGAGGCGAATGAGCGCACAGTCCGCTTCCTTTGCAAGCGGCACGCTCTGACAAGTTCCACCACAGAGCTGCGAAGCAATGCAGCCCTGGCAATCTCCGGGCACCACTCATGTGCTTCTTCACTCACAATACGACCCTCACGCAGTGCCTCTTCGAGGAAAGACGGCGCAAGCACCCATTTTCCAGCCGCCACAGTGGATAGAAAAAACTCCGTCCTCGATGGTTTCCCGGTCACATAGTGAGTACACTCCTCCAGTGTCGTTGCGAGGGTACATCCCAGCGCCTGTAGGCGCTCAAGGTTGCCCTCCATGTGTGTCAGAGACTTGGCCAACATAATACAGCAAAGACGTCCCGAGGACCCTCTTGAAGCTACTCCACTCACGTACACAGTGCCTTTTATTGCCGAGGCCCGCTCGGCATCAGCGGTCCTATATCTGCGTAGTAGCACACAGGGCTGCTGTTGTTGTTGTTGCTGTTGCTGCCTCATCACTTTTCTCGGAAGGTCAAATTCAGACCTTTTGTACACAATAACCTGAGACTCAGTCGGCAGCGAGGTGTGGTTGCCGTCAACGCATAGTGATGCCGTTGAAGTGAGGAGGCACGCCCCTGCGCCCGAGTGCCCCTCCGCCCTCTCCTGCAACAGCAACTTTGTCGGCAACGCGGGTTCAGGAGCCACAGTGGGGGGCGTCGTTGGTGCTCTGCCCCGGTCACTGGTTTTCGTCTCCAACCCTTCAATAAACAACGCAAGAGAGTGCGATGACAGCGGCTCGTCCTGTATTTCAGTTGATGAGGAGCACGGTGATAAGGCCCTTCTCCCACCGGTAGAACTATCCACTACGTCGTTGTTGGTTTCCGCGGAGGGAGCGGCGACAGAGGTCGCACGCAGCCTTGTCCTTATCCCTCCAAATGCGGAAATGTGTGGCACCACCAGAGAGAATGGGGCGGGGTCGACCCATCTTCCGACCTCCAGCGAGCGGTGCAGCCACCCCACATACACCAGAAAACACTCCTTCCGCTGCAGCGCATACCGCTGAAAACTCAGTGCAGCAACCTTGGAGGACCGGAGCAGGGGCGACCGCCCCAGCACAAGATGGGTGGTATTGCGCTCACCACTAGTGTCATCGGTCATCCCGCTCAGCACAAAATTCCCCTGAACAAGACAAGGCAATCCCTTTTGTTCCAAACGAGAGCTGATTGACATCCGCTCTTCCTGCGGCACACCTGTAAAGGTAATGATTGGCCTCTGGAGAATGGACACTCTATATGGTGCTACAGCCACGTGTTTGCGTCGTGCAGCACACTCCTCTAGCCAGGCAACTGACACAAACTCCAAATTAGGGCGTGGAGAAAACACCTCCTCCGTTTGGCCCAATACCAACACATGCGTTGTGCGAGGTGTTAGCACCGGTGCATGCCGCACACCGACCTCGTTGAGAAGCGTGCTAATCCGATCTGTCATAAGAAATGTAGGGGAGCAATAAACCACAATTCCTAATGCACCACCACCTCCAAAAGATGGTTGACGTGCAACAGGCAGGAGGCTGCGATGCAACCCCACAGCAGAGCCGTACCGCTCCTTGAATCCATCATATGACACAACTTCGATGCGGTTCTTGATGGCAAAACAAAGTTTCTCATTTCCATCTACATCAGATGTCCCATTTGGCACCACTAACACCGCACAGTTTCGCGTCAAATACGCCGTGTACGTTGCCTGATGTGTTGCGCACATCCGACGCACAAAACCGCGTTCCTCCTTCGACAGTGAGGTGCTGCACAGTTCCAGTCCAAGCAGAGACCGCCCTATCTCAAACTCACTCACTCTATTTTCATCACAACGCCCCAGCCAAACCCAGGCTGATGTGACGCAGGGAATACCGCGTTTCCTTGCCACTCGATACTTGTCGCCGTCGCCTCTCCCTGCGATGAGCACGTTGGTTGCGGTGGTCAGGTCCGCAACGTAGGCCACGCCGCACTGATAGAGAGCTGTCTTTATGCGCTCTAGTTCCCTCCCATAAATGACCGTTGTTGTCACAAGCATCCTCCGCGGTGACGGAGAACAAACAACAACGCCACCGGACGGACGAGACGCTTAAGCGGTCATGAGTCGTTTAACCAAAGAAACAGAGGGTGAAAAAAAGAGCTCAAGTGAAGACAAAAACAAAATGTATTTGCACCTTTTGCAGAAGTATCTGCTGTTGTTTAGCACAAACTGCAGCAACGTTTGTTCCAGTCCAAGCGCAAGCTGGGACGCAACATACGGCATAACAAAATAAATAAAAAGATGTGGCTCACAGAAACAGAAAAAATTAACGGGCAAGAAACACAGCGCTTAGTAGAAGAAACCAAGAACCTTTCCACCAGTGTTGCGGGCACGCGCCTCCTCGTGGTCCATGATGCCAAGCGACGTCGTAAGCACCACGAAGCCAAACTGACGGCTGGGAAGAATGTTCTTCACCCACTTCTCAAAGTCAGGGGCAGTGCAGTCGAAGCGGGGGCAGATGGCACCGCACTTGTTAAGGCGGCCGTTGAGATTCACCACAATTTTACCCGCACGGTGGTCGTCGATAATCTCAAACTCGCCAATGTAGCCGTGCTTCTGCATCACCTGTAAGAACTTCACGACGACCTTGGACGATGGGCGAATAAGAACCTGACGCTTGCCACGGCGCTCCGCGCTCGCAATGCCGCGAAGCGCGTTGGCCAACACGCTCATCATCGTCATTTTCTCTTTTTTTTTTTTTGGTCTGAGCCACTATCGGGCACACGACGCGGTGCAGCCAGAAACCAAAAAACACCAATAAAAAAGAAAATATTATTATAGAAGAGCCAGTGAAAACAAACAAACAGCACCGCCTGCATTCAGTGTGCAGTGAGAAAAGGTGTTTACCGTTACAACGCGCCAGAAAATGAACGGGGCGAAAACAAAAAAGAGGGAGAGGAGAGACGGGAGGACGGACTGGTACTCCGACTCAACAGCATGAGGCGCTCAAAGAAGAGAGGGTTTCATATTGCCCAATGTGTCTGCGCGCGACGACGCGAAGGACATGGGACGCCGCATCAAAGCAAAGGAGTACGTTAGCCTCGGGCAGAGGTGAGAAGAAAAACGAGGCCCCCAGGAATATAAATCCGTCACCAAAAATGTGCTCTAACCACGGCCTTGTGTCCATCGGCGTCTGTGGATCCGCGGAACCTAATAAGAGACACCTCCAGCGAAGAAGATCAGCCAATCGCGACGCCACAACACACTCAGAGTCTGCGTCCGTACATGTATCATAAACTCTTTGTGCCGCAATTATACCATCATACGGTTCAAGCAAAGGCCGTGAACCACGGGCCGCATAGTATGCCGCTTCTGCTGTCAAAACCGCGGCAGGAACACCGTCTTCGGCCCACAGCTGCAACACCTCAGATGGATCCACGCTAGGTAATTTTATCCCCTGCAACGTACAAAGCTCCTCGCCCCCTTCCACGGCTTCGCTACAGATCCACCGGTCATCCACCAAAACGGCTCTGGCCATTGATACAATACGGCGCTCAAGGGACTCCCACGCCACATCTGTGCCAAACTGTTTTACACTGTCTTTAACACAGCGAGCAGCTGCGGCTCGCGCCCCAAGCAAATACAAGGCTGAAGCTTTTCGATAGTATGCCTTGATGTTCGTTGGATCAAGAGAAATCGCCTTTTCTGCGTCTGACAAGGCAGCGTCACCTCTACCAAGTTGAACCATCGCAGCCGCCTTATTCGACCACAGGGTACTTGACGCAGGTTCGCATTGCAGTGCTTCACTGTACCAGCGAAGAGCCTTACGTAAATCACCCCGCCTCATTGCATCATTACCCCGTGCTCTGTATTCCGCGGTCTTCTCTGGTTTCGTCGGGATGCCATCTGAGGTAACCGTTCCTGCCACGGTGGGAAGCGCGTGCTGCAAGAATGGCTGCGAAAGGCCAGCACGAGAGCCCCCCCGCATCCACTTGTTGTACCGTTCCAGCTCCGTTGGAAGAGCGTCCCGGGCTATTAGGTACACCTCTCGTATTAATTTCTCCGTCTCTGCCCGAGTGCGGAACACGCCAGTTTGAGGGTCGACGTCCAACCCAGTGGAAGCATCCACGTAAACTTCTTGGCTTATACGTTCTCCATCCACAGAAACGATCACCATGTGCTTCTCCACGGAGTGCAACATGGCATTTCGTTTTCTTGCGGAAGGGAGAAAACAAAAAGGCAGATCTGTCGTCGTGGTCAACCAGGACAAAAGAGAGAGCGAGAGAGAGAGAGAGAGAGAGAAAAGAGTCAACGCACACACATAGAAACACCACTGCCGCCACCACTACTGCTAGGATCAGCCTCGTCGCACCATATGGAGTGTAAAGTGTATCAACAGTGGTGCCAGTAACGGCCGATGGTGGGTACGGCCCATGATGCACAGAAACAACGACGTGTGTTGTCATCACAAAATGGGTTTTTCCCATGTTTCACGTTAAAGTGATAGCAAAAAGAATTAATTGTTTTGCAAGTAAAGAATATGTGCTTGGGTGAAACCACCTGTTTTCCTTCTCCGTGTGGGAGAAAAAAAAACAAGACAAGCAAAACAGTTTCTTTTTTTTTTGTCGCTCTTGTTGCACACAGCCTTCCCCACTGGATAAGAGATTTATTGTATCGCTCGTGCAACAAGCCAATTCCTCTACACCCTAATCAACAATAACTGGGCTCTCGTTGTACACTCACAGAGCAGCAGCCTTTAAGGCCCGCAACCACCATAGCTTCTCCCTCCGTGTGGAGAGTGATAGTAATAGTGATAGTAGTAGTAGTAGTATAGGGCAAAAAAAAAAAGGTGGGGGGGAGGGGGGGAAGACGCTCGCGCCACCTTACAATGCGGTATCGTTATAAATAGGCATCAAGCAACAAGTAAAAATGCGCGCAGCATCAATAAGACACCCACTCCTTTCTCAAAGCCTCACCTAGGCACATTCCGCCCTACCCCACACACGCGCATCCACAAATTGGAAATTCCTTGAGGGACGCGACGCGGGAGAGAAACAGCGGGCACACCTAAACACTGACATTCGGCCGACAAGACTATAAAATAAAAGTGTTGATGCATTTTGGGAAAAGGGAAAAAAATTACACACGCACAGAGTCAAAAAGACACACAAAAAAAAAACATATATATATATATCTTTATATATATAGGCCCTCTATTTCTCTCTCTTTCCAGTAAGTTATGAAGGGAGGAAAAACACAGATAACTCGAAAAAAAGAAGGCGGGGGGGGGGGGATTACAACAAAAGCAGCCTCACTTCCAAGAAAAGAGACAAAAAAAAGAAGATACCAGCATCACCTAATTAGTGAAACACACCAGAATGCAATGCTGGATTGGCATAGTATACCCCACGCACGCATGCAACCTTCTCTTCTCCAAGCTGTTTCGTGGTGTTGTTGTTATTTGGTGTGCTTATGTTTGTTGTGCATTCTGGCGTCTTGCGGCAACACCACATGTGTAGTACTCCTTAAAACACTCCAGTGCGTGTCGATAAGGAGATGAGCAAGTGCGTGCATAGCCTGCTGATAGAGCCGACCTTCAGCACAAATAATGATAGCAACAGACAAACAAGGTAAGCGTCAGCAAAAAAAAAAAACGCAGGTAATAAGCCAATAATCAAAAAAAAAAAAAAAAAAAATGCATGGGCCACGAAAGCCATCTACTGCTGTTGACAAATAGATAATTTTAGAGATAAGAAAAAAACACACGGCCATTACATGGCACCTCTGCCGCTTCCAAGAAAAAGCAGCACATTGTGATCTGAATTTGTCGCTACCCACGCATCCAACTCACCCCCTTCTAGAAATTTCAAGAAGGAAGAAGCATCACCTTTTGAAAAAGGTTTCTTCTCCAAGAAAAAAGAACCACATGATGCCGAATACCAACGTCGCAACGAGAAGCCGCTCATAAACTGACGAAATGGACTACTGATACTAGTAAATAAAGAATTACCATTGCCACTCACGTCGTCTAATCCCAACACCCCCTTGTTGCACTTTATTTCATGCTGTCGAAATAATCGAGTATACATCTTACCCCGCATAACATAATCATTCACTAAAGATTCAAGTCGAAGTTGAAGTATTCTACACGTTCGTGATACGATTTGCGAAGCAAGCTCTGAGCGAAATAATTCCACAATCTGTGTTACGATATTGGGTGTTGGTGCTCCCGTACAAGAACAATGACGCCTTGCACCTGCAAAGGCGTATACTCTTTCATCATATGCATGAACAGAGACTATGCTGCCTTCAGAACTAACACCTACACAAACAGTATCCATAGCTGAAAGTTCATTTTCAGGTGTATATATATGGTCAAGATGGGATCTCTGACAAAAGCGTTTGCCAAAGCTGATAATTCTATTTTCGTATGGCATTAAGTACTCTTCTGCAAAAACAGTGACGCATCGCAGCTGTCGTGGCAAGATCTGAGACAGCGAAAGTGCCAAATTAGCGCACTGGAAACTATCATCTCCATAAATAAGAATTTGGATTCCACTTAAAAGTGCAGTTAAAAGCATTTCAATCTCCCGAAAACTATTCGTGTGGTTTTGCAGAAATTCCAAAATCCAAACAGAAAGAGGTTTTACCATTAATGTTTCATCTGTGGCTAGTATTCTGCCACTATCTATGGCAAGACAGCCATGTTCCCCGGGGGGGGAGTCCAAATCAAGTTCAACGATATTTACTAGAAAAAGTTCAATCTCAAAGCGTTTTTTCATTTGCTTAATAGACGTAGGCTCCAATATCGAGTCAGCGATCCTTAATGGTTCCACGCCAAAAAAAGCAGGAATGGCACGCTCGAAAAAACAATGAACACGCTTAAAGGCCTTTACTTCAGACTCCGTGTTCTGAGATATCAAGCACATCAATGAACGCATTGAGCGCTTACGCGCTTCCTCACGGTACCTTTCTAAATCAGGAAAGGTGGAATATTCCAAAGTTAAGCGCCTTTTCGTTGCACTTGACCATTCTTCCAAAAGAATATTTAGAAATACGGAAACCAATGGCCATTGACGCACGAGTTCATCACTTTGAGGATGTGTCACTATAATACAAAACCGACGCTTTTCCCCGCGGGCTAAAATGTCTTCCAAGCAAAAGGACATACTAGCAATTCCTCCAGCTAATGGATCCAACATTAAAACTGATTCCTCATCAGAGTCATTTGAAGTAAGTACACGCGCAACAATGGCCTTCATTCGTTCCTTGTATTCTGGACGCAATGGACCACTAATCACACGAGAACTAAGAAGTGTCTTTCCGCAAACAGCAGAGAGACGTAACAACTGAGGTCCAAATATATCCATTTCCTGATAAGCGTAGTATTCTGTTACGCTGATTGCCTTTGCACCCTCGAGAGCATCAAACTCCCCCAATGTCACCATGGGAACACTACAAAATGGTCGCAGCATTGGCTCTAAATAAAACAAAAAGCAAAAAAGACATCAATTGTGTGAAAAATAAATAAATAAAAATTTATTCAGGTAAATTTAAAGGTATATATATCACTCCCCCTCTCCCCTCCAAAAAAAAAAAAAGGTTGAGAATTAACTCGTTGCTAATATTTATTCGCACATTTTTTTTTCACTTTAAATTCACGACGACAAAAAATTAATATATATATATATTATATATACATTCCCTTTTTTCATGTTTACAATGAAAAGGCTGAAGACCACGTTAGTCCAAACTTGACATGATCAAACAGATTTTTATTACCATTTCTCCAAGTGACATTCCAATTTCTATCAATGCCTACAGGAAGTGAAAAGTTTAATTCAAAACGTCCACTGGGCGCAACACCGAACAGTGGAATTCGCGTTACCACCACACCAAACCCAACTGAAGCAGCACAAGAACGAAACCATTTACCAATATCAATGAGTTCTGATTGACATTGTATCATTCTTAAATTACCCACATTTGCAAAGAGATGCATAGAAGCTAATCCATTATGTGGAAACAAGAGAAATGGAAAGTTTATGCTAATTGATGATGCCCATAGTGCATTACCACCCGTTGCAGCAAATCGACCACCTTCATTTTGATTATTGTCAAGAGTCGAAGGTCCCACGCTTTTAAATCCACGAACATGACAGTTTGAAAGAAAAAGTCTGTCATTTAACGGTATTCTAGCCTGTCGATAGGACCATATACCCGCCAATTTAGTATTCCACTGAAGACTACAAAAGGGTCCAAGCGGCCAATATTTTGCTGCTTGTATTTCAGATTTAAAAAAAGTAAATTGACCACCACAAGGCCCACCAGCAAGTTCATTTTTTACACTCAACTGATTTCCCTGAATTGGTAAAGGATACATATTTGCTAAAAAAGGATCCGCATGATACCCTACATTCGATAACGCTAATTCATGTCTCATATATCCCTTAAACGTGGTTGAAAAGTCATTTAAAAGGTCTGAATTTAAATGACCTTTTTCTTTGGAGACCAAAATTCTTCTCTGAAATCCAACTGAAAATTCCGACGCAAATCCCCGTTTTATATTTTTTGTAGTAGCCCGAATTTCCTCTATTCTTTCACAAGTAGCGGGATGATGTACTCTGTTTTCAGTCCGCTTCCCGATGTAATACTCTCCCACTTGTCCCACAAATGGAGCACTGGAAATTAACGAAAAGGATGCAGCATGAGTACGCGAAGTTGGAGGAACATAGTTCCCAGATAAAGTGTACCTTCCTCCAAAAATATTTTCCAAAGAAAGTGTCAACTCGGGAACGACAGTTTCAGTCGTAAAAATGCCAAACGATTTTTTGGGTTTAGCCTCTTCAACGTCTATGTGAACACAAACATCATTAGCTTCCCCATCGTATGTGGGCTCCAAATTAAAGTTTACTGAGTTAAAAAAGCCCATACTCACCCACCTATTTTTCGCCTCAGCCATGTTATTCGTAATTTCAGCAATCGTCTGTGAACGTTTGATAGCCTCAACGTCACGACTAATGACACGCGGGTGAATTTTTTCAATGCCCCTAATGCGTACATGGGTACGTATCGGCAAATCCATGATTTTATCAATGTCACTTTCTGATATTTTTACTTCCTGAGAAAAAACAGATTTATCCTCGTCTCCAGCCATTTTTCCCCGCCTTTTTTTTCCTTGAAGACTTGCCCCCCCAAATAATAATAATTCCAATAGTAATAATAAAAATAATAATCTAAGTCTAGCAATAATAATAATAATAATAATAAGAAAACAATAAAAAATGAAAATAAATTTTGGCACACAATTACGCAATAAAGGAAAATAAATAGTGATAACAGACGGAAAAAAAAACTATATTTTGTGGCACATTTTGACGTTTCACTCACACACTCTCTCTCAGTAAAGGGTAAAGAAGCCAAACCTTCATTTTCTTTTTTACCCTATCACTCTTCAATATACAAATCTTCAATATACAAACAGACCAAAAAAAAAACTTTCCTAAACTCATTATTTCATCCACACACACACACACACACACACACACATTAGCAGATATATATATATATATATATATTAATTTTGATACGCCCTACCGTGATCGAAGTTGAAAGGAGACCACTCCTGAAGAACAAGTTGTGGAAAAACATTCGGTTTTAATACAGAAGTCCCAAGAAGCATATTTACACATTCTTGGAATCCTTGTGAAACAGCTGGATATGCCGTGCGAAGTTCACCCAAGCTATGAAGTGTTTCCTTATTATGAATTGCTAAAGAGGCCAACTCTATAACACTACTTGCATGAGGTCCAATAGCTCGCACTCCGAGAACCTTCATCTCAAGGTCATTTGTAACAATTAACTTAACAAATCCACTAGTATTTCCCATAGCTACAGCTCGCGCCAAAAATTCATAACCATAGCGAGCCATCTTATACGCTATATTTTGTTTACGGCATTGTTGCTCATTCAAGCCAACTGCAGCAACCTCTTGATCCAAAAACATAATCGTCGATAAGTTGTCTAATTTTTGAACAAATTCACCTTCAGGATGAGGAAGATATATATGGTCAATGCAAGTGCGACCCTCTAACTCCCCAACATTCACAAGAGCAACTCTAGTAGCTACATCTCCACAAGCATAAATATGCTTGTGAGGTGGCACGCGATTAAATTGATCCCTCACAAGTTTGCCTTGTTTAAGTTCCACCCCAATCGTTTCCAACCCTAAATCACTCAAATGGGGCTCTCTTCCAATAGAAACCAAAGCACTATCCACAACGTGGGTAGCCAATGATTTGTCTATTACATTTCTCAGCGTATAATGGAATTTCCCATTTTCCACTTTATTACTCTCCAAAGCTGAATGATGATGAATGTTCACCCCTTTACTTTCAAGTAATTTTTGAACAAATTCCGCCACATCATCATCCTCCATGGGTAAAATACGATTGCTTTTTTCAATGACATTCACTTTTGTCATGCCAAAGTTGGCAAATATAGATGCAAACTCGCAGCCAATCACACCTGCTCCAATAATAACAATACTTTTTGGAAAAGCTTTCTGCATAATATCATCTGAGGTAAAAACAACCTGACCATCCGCAATCACAGAGGCATGCTTCCGTGGCTTAGCTCCACAGGCAATAACAAAATAATCCGCCTCCACCAACTCTGTACCTCCAGAAGAAAGTTGAATGCCTACGCAATAAGGGGAAACAAATGCGCCACGGCCATTGATAACATCAATGTCAACAATCCTTAGTTGATGAAGTATTTGGTTATATCGAAACTCGGCGGCATTTTTAATGGCTTCCTGTGCATTTGAGGCATCAATAGTGGGAAGAGGTTTAAGGGGCTTCATAAAACGATGCGCTGTTTGACCAGTCATTAATCGGACAAATTTGGCCATTTCCCATAAAGTTTTGGACTGTAGTGCACCATTCCAAAGATCCGCTCCTCCAATTCGGTCTGCCTCAATAATACATGCCTTTTTATTATAATCCACCGCACGCAAGGCCGTCGCAACACCTGCAGGCCCACCACCAATCACACACACATCAACTTTTTTTACCCACCGAAAAAAACTGCGGCGCATCATTATTGCTGTTGCTACGCAAAAAAAAAAAAATGAAAAAAACAACAACGATGGCAAAATCAAAAAAAAATATACCCATGCCCCAATGAGGAGCAAAACCGGAGTAAACAATATATATATATATATATATAAGGGGTCCTTTCCTTCGCTCCCAATGAAGCGGCGTTTAAATGAAGCAACAACAATGAAAACGACGAACAAAAAAAAAACACACACACACACACAAAAAGACGCTGGCCCGGCGTTCTTGCACCCGGCGCCATTCCGCCAGCCCCCCTTATTGACGCTCGGCTTTCACGGAATCTTGGAACGCATTGTTCTCCCATATGGAAACCTTTTCAACCCCATGCTGGCCAAGGAGCCTCACGCTTATATCGTTTATTATTTTATCATTTCTTTTTCTCACGCAGCCACGTTATTCTCGGTGCCTTGGGTGCTGTATTTTTTTTATTATCTCAAAAATCCATAGCTTTTTATGGCTTGGCAAACGCAATCGAAGTCACCATACCCAAGTGGTTAAGGGGACCGACTAGAAATCGGTTGCGATCTCGCGCGCAGGTTCGAACCCTGCTGGTGACGACTTTTTCCCACGTTTTTTGTATATACACAACACCTCCTTTGTTTAGGCGAAAAAGAATAAAACAAAACGAAGCGAGCTCGCAAAAGGGCGGCGCCCACTGTTGATATGCTACGCACGCGGAGCGTGGGCAGCCTACGCTCAGACTTTGATTGCGATTGCGAGGTTGCGTGGCACGCTTTGCGTCTTGCAGCGACCTCTTCAGCCTGGTGGCAAAGCAAAAACCTGAAACACCCAGTGGCCCGCCACCGAGACGCAAGGAAGCGGCCAGATCGGGAAGGAAAAGGAAGGCCGGCTGCCGCGGGAACCTTCCGTGGGCCTGGGAAAGGCGACGTGGCTGGCTTGAGGCCGCGCCTGCAGGTAGGGCAAAAAAGTGGGGCCTTGTGTTTCTGCACGTGAGGAATGCAGGTGTGTTTTTTTTTTTTTTACTGAGTATCCGGAAAGAGAGCGAAACAAGTAGTGAACGGAAGAAAATGTGTTGTTGTTTTTTGCCGAATACCCAAACCCGCTAGTGCTTATTTTTATTATTTGGGATATTGTTAGCATTTTTTTTTCTTTTTTGCGATTTATTATTATTGTTTTAAGTTTACTGCTTTTTTGCCCTTGGTGCTTACTCCTCTTTCGTCTGCCGTTACATTTTGATGCTGCGGATTTACTTTTTTCCCCACCTGGGTGGTCGCCCTTTTTATTTATTTATTTGCGGGCGCAGCACCTTTGAGGCTATTAAAGCGCTGGCGCTTTTGCTTTGGCACGAGGGCGAACATTTCAGATTCGAATACTCTCACCGGATCCGTTTCCTCCTACAAGATGCCGTGGGAGCGGCGAGGCAGTAATGCGCGTTTGCCGCAACACATTCCACCGCGCTGGAGTTCCTGCCTGAAGCCGATGCCAAACAAAGCAAACTGCAAAACCTACGCCACCCCCCCCCCCACCAAAGCCCATCTGACCAGCACGCATCACCTCGATTGTTGCCGGCTGAGGGCAAACCAGGGTTTGGGGAACCGAGCAGGCTGCAAAGGAACCGAGCCAGTGGCGGACCAAAGTGAAGCTCGGGCACCTCCAATACCCCCAAAGCCAAATTTCACACGCCGGGCCGCAAGGAACGCACAGCAGAATAAAATGTGCCCCAGCGCCTCCTCACCCACGCCGCTGCGAAACCACAGCGCCTCTCCCCACCATGTGCTATCCTTGTAAAATCCGTCGGCATCAATGTCCGGCGTTCGCTCAGCGACAAGGATGGAGAAGCAGTGCAGATGCCGCGCCTCTCGCCGAGGATCCCCTTTAAAAAGGTTCCTCAGCCACCCCTTCCGGGTCAACACAAATTAGTTCGACAAAGTGGCGGGACCGGGAGCAGTGGAACTCATCCAAACGGGATTTGCACCGTGCGCTTCGGAAGCGCATCGCGTGAAAAGGCCGGGGGCCTTTGGCGGGGGTAAAAAAAAAAAAAAAACGAAGCTCGTCTCCTGTGCCCCCCGCGCGGCTGCAAAAGAGCATCCCGCAGAGGAAAAAAACCTGGACGATCTAACTAATGGGGACCGGCTCGAAGATCGCCATGTTGCGAGTAACATCAGCCACGCGCGGCGAATCCTGGTCTTGTGATTCTTTAAATCGTTTATGCACGCGCCGTCCGCTGGCTACTTTGATTGTTAACGTGGTGCGTTTGCGTTGATATCATTATTATTATTATCTTACGGCCTTTGCGGGCGAGGCCCACCTCCGGCCGCCAGAGGGAGAAGGAGGAGAGAAAAAGGTGACAAGAGTGGGGTTCGAACCCACGCCTACGAATAGAAGAGAACTTGAGTCTCCCGCCTTAGACCACTCGGCCATCTTGCCATGCAGACACGCAGGGGAGAACCATTTCAAAGAAAGCGAAACATGCTTGAAGGGAAAAAGTCGTCACCAGCAGGATTCGAACCTGCGCGCGAGATCGCAACTGATTTCGAGTCAGTCCCCGTAACCACTTGGGTATGGTGACTCCGACTGTGACAGGCAAAGGAGTGATAGAGTCATGAGAGTTTATTTTCCAGGCACCGCCATCGTCAGACCCTGCTTGCCCGTGTGTTTTTCATAAAGCGCCCCACCCTCGCCTGAGGCGGCGCTGCCGGCAACCAAGGGCCCGCAAACCTTTCCCCTTTTCGCTGCGCCACGCCCGCTCCCTGAAACAAGACGGAGAAGCAGGAAAAAAAGAAATCAAACACAGCAGTGGGGCTGGCGCCCGGTGCCGCGCGCGCGGGAAGGCAGGGGCACGATGCAGAAGCGGGGGCGGAAAAGCAAAAAAAAAAAAAAAAAAGAGTAGCGCCGCGTGTGTTTCGCATTCGTGGCGGGAAACCCCGGCAACCCCGGCCGCGCGGAAGGCCAGGGAAACAAACAAGCAAGCTGGGGGGCGGTGGTCTCTAAAACGCCATGTCTTTTAGGGCGCCGACCTCTGTTCGCAGCCCCTGGTGCCGCTCGGCCATGTCCTCCACTTTTCCGAGCTCTTTCCCCACCAGGCCGCCAAGGGCGTCCGCCTCCCGCGCCTTCTGCTGTAAGAGGATCCGAAGTTTCTTGTATTCCACGTCGGCCTGGCAACTCACGCGGCGAAGCCGCCCTGCGAGATCCGCCTGCTCGCGCTGCAGCTGCGCAACCTCAGAGGAGAGCGCCCCCACGTGCTGCCTGACGCGCTGGAGGTTTCGTGTTGCCCACTCCCTCGTGGACTCCATCTCATCCGCGATGGCGGCGTGGTCGCGTCGCCGTTCTTCTCCGAGCGCCTCCACGGCAGCGGAGGCCGCGCCCACTTTTGGCTGCAGCGAATCCAACGCCTCAGTCACCCGAAGCACCGCAGCCTCCAGAGGGGCGAGGCGGGTCGTTTCAGTGCTCACCCTGCCCACCTCCAGCGCCCTCACGTTCTGTTCCAAGAGAGACAACTGCTCGCGTAGTCTGTTCTGAGTCTCTGCTTGGGACGAGGCAGATGTGGAAATTTCCCTCTGCACAGCTATCGCATTCTGCTTGGCATCCTCCTGAAGAGCCTTGACAGCGTTTTCGACATCCCCTCTGAGCTGGTGCACTTCTTCTTCACGTTCTTTGCAAGCTCTGATTACTTCATTCATATTTTCTCGCTGAGCCTCTATAACTTTGTCCCGTATCGCGGAGGGGACCTGCTCCCTCAACACGGCAAGTTCTTCCTGCAGTCGGGTTGTAAGGTGCTCCTGCCGTTTTAACCGGGAGCGAAGTTCGTGTTGTTGGCGTCGAAGCTCCCCCTCCTTGTCTTCTTGAAGACCTTGAGCCAGTTTCACCAGCTTTGTCAGATTCAACATTTTCTCATCGAACGCGTCGACGCGTGTGGAAAGTCCTTCGATGCGATCCACAAGCTGCTGAACTGAAAAGGCCCCCTTCAGCACACGCTCCACGCGCTGCTCCGCGGCCGTCTCCACCCCCACTGGCCCCGAGGATGCGTGCGGCACGGAGTTTTCATCGCGTCTCTGCCGCAAGTAGATGTCTGTGTAGTCCATTTTTTGCTGCCGTGCAACGGGGCAGGGCCAACCCACCGTTTTTTTTTTCTTTTTCTTTTTTTGCCTCCTTCTGTCTCTCGGCGAACTTTGCCCCGTCTAGCTGCGGGGGGCAAGGTGTCTATACAGCAACCTACCAACAACAAAAAGGACCATCACCCAACGGTGAAAAAGCAAAAGCAAAAGCAACAAGGCATGTTAGGGAGAGAGAAAAAGTGGGAGCGAGGAGGGGCAGTAATAACACTAACTACGGCGACGAAAACATTCCAAACAAGGCAGACTCAGGCCTCCAAACAAATGAAAACTAATAGCACTACTCCCTCCACAAATATATCTCTCCCTGTCCTTTTTTTTCCCTTGCCTGGTAACAGTTTTGCATTTAAGCTCCCCCCATTCAACCTTTAACTCCACCACATGTACGTGTGAGTGAGGAGTGTGTTGTGTGGGTGTTTCGGGAGCTGGAGGCACAGCAACCGTGCTAGTAACAAGAGGGGCAAAATAAAACAAGACATGCGCAAATAGAGAAATACAGAGCCACATGCCAAGGAAAAAACAAAGAAAAAGAAAAAAAAAGGTGTAGGTAAGGAGGCAGGCCTACAGAAATCTTTCTGAATCGTCCACTACCAATGAGACACGCAGCATCCTGCTGAGGCCATCCCACTTTGCATCTGCTCTGCCGGCGATTACCTTCTGCGGCAGAGCAGCTCGCAGGTAGTACCTTGAAGAGGAAACACGAAGTTCATATGGATCAACGGAAATGGCTAAATCTGCGGCTTTCTCCAGCTTGGGCATGAAAACTTTTACGAGCAGACCAGATGGTCCCCCAACGGCCTTCATGGCGTCTATCCCCAGGTAAACGTCCTCTGCAGTGACCATTTCCTGCTGCAGAATGGAGTGCTCCGGCTCTTCCGCACCTTCTTTTGGGTGTATAGTGGCATCGTGACGTGCACGAAATACAGCGGCCAGTTCCTCGTCCGTCCAAATGGCGTATCCCTTCGGTTTCGCGGACCGACGCTTCTTCAACTGTAGCTGTTTGGCCTCACGACTTTTGGAAGGAATAGGAAGGCGCAGCTGCTGATCCACGACTGTGGAAGGCAAAGAAATACTTGAGGGCGCTACCTGCATAGTCGCACCGGCCGCCGCACCACAGGATGCATTGCCCACGGAATTTGCCTCTTGCAGGCTGTAACCCACGGTTTGCCCCTCCGGGCGCTTGAATCCCTGATTTTTGTCCAACAACTCCACCAAACCAGAGATGTCTTGAAAGCCTAATCCACGGTCTTTATCCATTGCTTCCTTTACCTGATTCCTTCACGAAAAAGGAAAGGCGTTAAAGTAATATTCCCCTTGAAACTCCACAAACACCATAACAAATAAGTAAAATAGGAAAACACGTCTTTCACTCTATGTGTGTGTGTTTGTGTGAAAGAGAGACACAACGAAGCAACTAACGTATGGAGAGGAGCAGGGGCAAGAGGCCCACACCTACCACGAAGTTTCACCATTACTTCTGCCTTGTGCGGCACACTTGCAAAGCACGACTAGATTAAAACAGGAAAAGGAAAGACATCCGCCGTATGCATTTTGTGTCACCAAGCTACCCCCCTTCCCCTTCCTCCACCGTGACATCAACCACTGTAGCTTTTGATCCTATTACCAAACCTTTTTTTTTGTTTTTGTTCTGCCCGTTTGTTTCCCTATATGTGGTTAAAGTTTACTTCGGTTTCCAAGCAGGGGATCGAACCCCACTTGGCTAAGTACCTTACGTATCTCAGGCCTGAAAACGAGTAGCGAGAGATATTGTTTCGCCTGGAACGTGGTAATAACAGAGGTACACATACAACCATCCTCAATAGTGATGGTGTTGAGTACTTTATGATCCGTCAACGTGAGCGGCAGTTTTGCCAACCTTGCAGGGGTTTCCTGCCACCATAGTCGTAGAATCCTTACCGAGTCCCCACTGAGGAATCGTAGCGGCAAACTATTCTTGGGTCGCTCAACCGTGACGTAGAGGTCCCTTATCAATGACTCATAGGCGGCATCAAGGTTCGGTTGCTGATTCACACTACCCTCTAATGCCTTTTTCGCATTATAATACTCCAAAAATTGCATTAGCGTGGATGGCCAACGCAACACAACACGCCCATTGGAGGGTTCGTCATTGCCTTCAAAGTGAACAAGAATGGCAGTCATAGTATGAACCTGCTGCGTGTGTTCCAACATCTCACGCAGAAGTGGCCCAATTTTGCCGACGTACTGCTGAATGTCCGGTATACCTACCACACGGGGCATTTGTCCTCGTATAAACTCCTGCGGGGAGGGAATAGAAGGTAGGCGCAACATAGAGGAAGACACTACACGAGGCTGCAAGGAAGCGCTCTCTTCGGATTCCACAGGTATCTGAACGACATACCCGCACTGAGGTCGAAGGGAATTGATTGGGTTGGGCGAGCGGAGGTACGTGATGATGTCGGCATCGTCCGCCTTCAATGGACTCATGGTCTTCTCAATGAAGTTTTTGCAACCCGGTGACTCAAACGTGATGGCGTACGTGTGTTCCTCTACAGACCGACATGCCGCAAGAACAGCGCCCAGGCTATGGCCAGTATAGCTAATAAACCACTCGGGTGTTTCCCCATGTGTGACACTCAGGAATAGACGAACTTGCTTTGAAAACTGCCGCGCCAGGCCAAACAGGATGGTGCGCTCATCAAAGTAAGTCCAAACACCCGCTCGTAGGCTCAGCGCGTTTGTCGTCCCCCGCTGGGCAATGATGCAGTGACGCAATTTCTTATTGATGTACGCTACGCCAAAGTACCCTTCCTTATCCAAGCCCAGATCCGTCGCTGTCAGGAGAACCTCCCACGGACTCGGCACCGGTGGGCCGTTTGGTTTACCATACACATGAAGCGAGAGTCTGGCATATACGGAGTGTGGAATGAGCGGCAACAACGAAACCTCCTCCGGTGTCAGCTTGGGCCGGTTTCTAACAGTCGCGGCAAAGCATGTAGAGCTTGAAAAACAATTGCTATGACTGAGCCCCATTGCGATCCCTTCCCTTGGCAAACAACGACACCACCACGATGAGGAAGACCCGGAAAGGCAAAAAAAAAAAAAAAAAACACAAAAAATTACTTGACGTCGTGGCCCAACGCAACACGAATGACGAGAGTCAGGTACACAAATGTATTTACTATCCTTCTAATCCAAAGTCAGCGGCACCTCTGAATCTCAGCTCTCCACTCGCGCCGCACTCTGCACGACGGCGTTGGAAGGAGTGTGTAGTCAGGGCACAACTGACGAATACGCCTAATCAACGCCGCCCCCTGTGCGGTTTGCATTGAAACACTATGAAAGATAAGCAACTGCAGCACAAACGCATCATCAAAAGAGCCTTTTCCCGACAAAAAACAATACTCTGCCAACGCCGCATATCGCCTGGCAGAGCGCCAACACTCCGCTTTGACGCACGAGCGCAGCATACTCACGAGACACGTAGGTGTCAGCCACTCACCCGAGCCGACGCCAAGGTGACGCTCCCACCACGAGAAGCGTTGCTCGTAGACATCGGCCTCACCCTCGTCTTCCACGTGGCACAACACCAAACGCTTGGACTTTGATCACCAATCATCGAAGGACACCTCGTCCGGTAATCGCAGCAAACGAAACGCTTCTTCACAGGTGCCACGGTACTGTGCCAGACGCGCTAAGTCTTCCGCTCGTTTCGTCCCAACTTCACCCACTGCTCCTACCACCACGCCCCCGTTTTTACGACTCTCGTAAGAAGGGCGGGGATGCTCAATTTGCATGAAGCACGGTGTGCTTTGCTAATAGATGCGAAGAAGATGCGGGATTAACTCACTTGATAAAACGCCTTGACTCATGCCAGATACATCAAGCGTAGATAAACACCTTTGCAGGTATACTGGATCTGTCGTCTGCGCCGCAGCATTCACTACGGTATCACTCAGCGGGAGTGCTGCCAAGCTGCGGCAGGCGCTAGTCGACAGGCCTCCCTGCACAGGCGCACCTTGCGCGGATCACTAATCCCAATAAACTCATCCAGCAGTGACTTTAGTGTACCAGGATCTTGGCACCTACCAGACTGTGTGAGGGCGCTAATCACAGCCTCCAAGCCTTCAAGACTCGCGGTTCCCGGAGTCGTGTGAGGCATGGGCGAAAAAAAACACCCGCGTGGGAAAGCGGAATTGAAACACACTAAACCTCTCAAACATGCTGGCGCATCACTCACCACAAACAGCCGGTCCTCTTCCTTCCTTACCGTAAATACGACGTTGAAATGTCAATCCAACCACCTTCTCACCCGTCGCACACAAACAGCGGCAAAGCAAAGAAGCATTGGGGAAAAATGAAGCAAAAGTCTACACGACATCTGCATATATCCCCGATCCTCCTTCCTCCATTCTCCACACCCCAAGTGTTAAGACCAATCCCCCTACCCCCCCCCCAAAAAAAAAAAAATAAAAAAAATTATCAATCAAAAGGTGTGAGGTATTAAAAGAAATATGAAATTTGCAAAAATCTTTTCATGCCCTTCGTGCACCCTCTCGCAACAAACAATACTCACTCCTCCTGGCACTAACCAGTAACGCCTAGAGAAGACCTAGGACGCTTTGTGTGAAGGAGGATCACACACGCATACGTTCACGTACACGCACAGACAGGCGTCTTCGCAGATTCGTCAATCGTTATTTCAATGCGGTAGAATAATGGTAAACGACTTCACATGGCGCTCGGTTCTTCGCTATGCACCCATTTCATTTCATGCAGTTGTCTTGGCAAACAATATTCCTCTTCTTCTTTAGGTATGGTTGCCGTTCTCGCCAGGCAGTGATGCTTTAGAATCAAACGAACGCAATTGGCCTTCTTCAGTCGCCGCCGCTCCCCCAATTCCCCCTTAACATAGTCCATGAGCTCATTTGCGGTGTAGTGGTTTTGCAGCTCAAACCCGGTAATTGCCGGGTCCTGGAGGGAACGTCGTCGCTCGCGCAAGATTGCTCTGGGAACTGCCGAAGGTCGCTCACGCATAAACTGGTCAAGATTCTCCGCAGTAAGAAATTCCTCCCCATCTTTTGCTTCTGTCCTAATTTTCTTTCTTGGAGACTCAGTCGATGACGCCTCCTCCTCCACCTCCTCCTCGTCGACATCAACCGCCTCGTAACACTTCTCATAGGAGGCGATCAGCCAATCGAGGACACAGGCCTTCCCTGTCTGCTTCTCGTCATCCGACGTCAGAGGTGGAAACACGACATCAATGATAAAGTCCTCAACGGCATGTGGAAGTTCTTCAGCTCGTGCACGCGCAGCCTCCAGCACCGCCGGCTGCACCCCACACGCCAGCACGAGAGAATCGTTTTCCCTCACAGTTCGTTGACTCATCCAGTGATCAAGGGCGTCAATAAGAAACTGCTCCGAGAGCGTTGTTGCCTTGCCCGTTAGTGCAAAGGCCTCTTTGATACGCAGAAGGGCCCACACTGGCAGGTCACTTTCCACAACTTCAACAAACGCCACAAGTGAGGAAGGTCCAAGTACACTTCTGCTAAATGTCTCCGCAGACTCTCCCACTAGCCGAAGCAATTGGGCTCGCTCTTCCTCGTCCGAAAAGAGGCGTGTGATGTTGGCGCGGAAAACGTAAAGTCCGCTAGACAAGATGCCGTGGATAGCGCTGCCATTGCTAAAAATGCGCCCCACATCGACAAACTCCCCATCGCCGGTGAGGTCGCTTAGGACTGAAAAGGGCTGCAGGCCCACAACATCCAAAAATGCCAGGAGCCGAAATAAGGCATTCTGCTTCCACACTGCGGTCATTTTCAGAAGTGTAGGTCAACAGAGTGCCAGGGACGTGATGTGCAAGCGAGGGGTTTCCAGACAGTCCGCCAGCGTTCCTTCAGCGATAATATTGGGGACCGCAACGCACACAGATACACAGAGAAAGAACAAGAGAGGGAAAGGGGGAAAATCTGTTCTTTCTGCTACAAAAGACACGACACCACCAACAAAAACCAAAAGATAGACGGAAAGACGCATAAATAATTTGGCCGGGCCATCACCGCAACCAACAATTCACTGTACGCTCCGTGATGAAAGAATTTCACCATGGGACCCACACACATAAATACTAATAAAAAAATGTAAAGCAAAATGCCAGTCTTTACAGATTTCCTTTACTTTCTTATGCTCATTTGTGCTTATCAGCCTTAGGCCTTTCCCCATGATACTCTTCAGAAACGGAGACACTTTAGTGACCATCCTTTTTCTCGCCAACGCCGCTTCGCCGGACGACCGCCCTCTTCACTGCCACTGCCACAATCTGATATCGCCCTCTCCGATCATGCAGCTCCACAAACCTCTTGCGCCTCCCCCGAGACACGTGCCGCACACCAGCTTTACCTCTACCAGAAACAACCGTCCACGGCAGCGGTAGAAGCAGCTCCCCTGTATCTAGGTTGCGAAGAAATGTGTTATCCTGCGAGCACACAGAGGAGAGATCTGCAAACATCTTACCTGTATTGATCTCGATACTCTCACGGGCATGGGCAAAAGTAGATGTGGCGGCATAAAACACTGGAACCTCAACCGTGACCCCCGCAGTGGTCTCAACATTGATGGTTGATGCATCTCCTTTCTTCCAGGCGCCTACAGGCTGCTTCCCAAAAGTTCGTATTGAGTGGGGCGAGACATTGGTCACCTCACAATGCATGTTGTTGCCTTGCAGCGGCATTGTGAGCGCCTCCAAATCAGCGAGCTTCTCCACAACATGTGACACTCGACAAAAACTAAAATGTTTTCGAAGAACTTTCCGAGAGGCAGGCACCGCCTCAACCAATATGCATGGATCCCTCATCCTAAGAGCATCCACAGTTTATCCCTCGACGCACTTGCAGATAAGTATGGAAAACAATAAAGTAAGAAGAGGTGTGGGTAGTGAAGGTCAAATAAACAAACATCCATTATATATCTCCAGCATCCTAGCACCACAATGAGTGTGAGGGCAAAGCGGCAAGAGGGAGACAGAAAGCAGCAACTACAGTCAAGGCCGCACACGGAAAAAGAACTGAACACCGTGTAAGAATCAGAAAAAAAGATTCACCAAATTCCTCGGAGAAGAAGAAGTACCAAAGGAACAGCAGAGACGAAGATGAAAAAACAAAACAAAAGAAGAAGGAAGAATACAAGCACCAGCTCACCAAAACGGCACACTGTCGTATCCCTCGGCGCCCGCCAGGTGTTGCATGCTAAACAGCGCCGACAAGAAGGCCCTCCGCTGTGCCTTCCCGACGACATATCCAAAAAAGTAGCTTACAACGCCTCCCACCGTCACTTTACTTAAGTCACGGATTTGCTGCAGCAAATCATCACCGCAGGCTCCCATGGGAATCGCTGCTCCTACCTCCTCCAAGTCAGCTGACTGACTCTGCTGTGATTCCTTCTCCGCTTTAAGCATTGCGGTGGTGCCGCGAAGGGCCGACCACACACTATCATACCTTTGTTGAGCATTGGGGTGGTCTGAAACCTCTGACACGGCCAGCACAACACGAAGAACTTCTCGCAATTTTAGATACTCACGGGCCACGGCGGCGCATTGCTTCCACCTCCTTTTGGCCATTTGACGCCGTGCTCTCATTTCCGCGAGGTCGTCGGAATGCATGCAGACCGAAACCGGCATTTGAAACCGCCGTGGCATCGTCCGACCTCGCCCAACGATGGTGCGAAGAACGGACCAGCCTGGATCGTGTTCCTCATCCACAATCGTCGAACGCAGAAGGTCCCGTACACTTTCCAGATCCGCCACCTCCGTGCACCACATGCGCCTTTTCACTGCCTGCAGGGCCAGTAGAAGTCCGGTGAGGGCAAATCGTGGCTGCCTACCCTTGATAATGTCACAAAACATCCGCAGATCCAAAAGAACTTCCTCGAAGTGGTCCATTACCCATTGTGTCAGCTCCGAATGAGAAATATTTATCTTAGCTCGCTCAGATGAGCATGGTGGATGCTGATGGTGATCAGTCCCAATCGCCTGACTGCCTTCCCTCTCGGTGGCATCATTTTCATTGTCATCACCAGTGTCGTTGAGGCTCAATCCACCCCATGATTCAAAGTTCGAAAGGGGTATAGAGTAAGCAGCCATATACATTTTAAGCAGGGAGCTGTTGAACAGCATAGTCCTCAGGCCAGGCGGATGTAACAAGTACACTCTTTCTGTGAAGTGTGCCCACAGCGCCACGTTGTCAGGTCGAGTGAAGTCATAAAGAAAACGGTTGAGTGTACCAAGTAGCAGCACATCCCGCACCGGTGTGTATTCTGCACACAACATAAGCACATCGTACGGAAGATCCTGTAGTCTGCAATGAGTGGGAAAACACACTACCTCTGGTGCCACTTCCACCAACTGCATCCTCAACTTGTTTTCTGAAACAATGCCGCCCTCCCAGAGCCAAAAAACTAAAAAAAAACAAATAAATAATAATAACAAAAAAGAAAAGGCCTCCAAACAGATTTTATAAAATAAACCCCAACAATTGCCCAAGCACACACAGATGCGTATACGTGCAGAGATGCATGGTCAAAACTATGCCATATGGAGGGAGGGGAGAGAGCAGAAAACAGAAAAGAGCGACGGGCTATCTCAGACCCTCTCAATGTGCCACGCGTACGAAAGAGCGCAAGTAAAGCACCAGAATAAGGGTCTTAATGACTCATCGGTATCGCCACTCAAAAAATGAGCATAGTCACTAATTCCATGTCACTGGAGGGCCGTCATAACCTGCACGTGCGATCACATGTATGCTACTTCACTGAGAATAACAACAAAAAGAGTGGGAGCAAGAGAAAACGAACAACTACAATAGAGCAAGAAAGAAAAAAAAATACACAAAAACAAAACAAGGCAAAACAAAAAACAAAAAGTATCAACAAAACATCACTCTTCATACGAGATTAACAGCAGAAGCAGAGCGGGAATTGTAAATGTCAAGCAAGAGTGCTGTAAAACAAATACAAATGAAAACGGAAACAAAGACAAAAAAACAATGAATAACTACAAAATGGTAATAATAATAATGGGGCTGCGCATAAGCTAGCGTTGTTCCCGATTTTCATACGTCCAAAAGGAAAGGCAATCAATAAGAAGAGCGACAAAGAGGCCAGCCTGTGGAGCATTGATGAATTCTTCACGAGAAATGCAAAGCGGCTCTGCTGTGGAAATAAGATCAAAGGCTTCCTGCACAACGGTTTCCCGTGAAGGCACCTCAAGCCCCGCAGCCACCAGTTTAGCGTGTGTTTCTCGAAAAAAGTGGTTCACGTGCACAGGCTTCAGGTAGCCGCTTCCTTCTATATCGAGAATATTCCAGAAAAAAAGCGGTTTCTGGCATGATGGGAGAAACTCCACCGCCACTACAAAATCCACAAATTTGCGAAAATCTAGTTCCGCCTTTGCCATTGTCACGTTTGTCTCAAAGAAGCGATCAATGAAAAGGGAGGAGAGTGGCCCAACGCCCGGAGGAAGGCCGTCATCCATCACGGTGGGGAGACCCTTCTTGTACCTTTTCATATCATCTGCGTTAAGAGTTCCCCGGTTACTAGTATCCAGGTAGAGGAACTTGTCGTATAAATTTGATGTGATGGCGGCACTAAACCAATTCCGCGGCTGCTCTTCCCGCATCAGTTGCAGACTTACCCACTCATCCATCACCGGGTTTTGCAGCAAGGCATCTATGCGAATAAAACCTCTGGACCCAGGATCCAATCCCCAGAAGATGCGCCGACTCACTGCACAACAATAGAAGGGCAACATTTCTTCCGTGATCTCTCGCAATACTTCGATCCTCGGAACTAGGTCGCGCACGTAGCTTTCCATTTCCTCTTCAACCAAGCACCCGTCATTGTTGGTGTCCCACATAATCAATTCTGCCTCACACTTCACAAGGAACACCTGCTTGGCAAATCGCTGGTAAATGTGAACCACCTCTACACCACCTGCAGGGGATCGGGGGCATGAGAGGTACAACTGTACCGATGGTCGTGGTTGCATCACGGAGGCTAAATACACGACATCCCCTAACGGTGTTGCGTCATCCAAACACTCTTGTTGTGAGGACCGTACGGAAACCTCTCGCCGAGGTGAGGACTTCGGCGTCGATTCAAAACGTTCTTCTTGCCACGCTTTAAACTTACCCAGGATCTTCATGTACTCAGTGACGGTTATTGTCATGCGCGTTTTGTCGGCACTAAGAAGCTCCCACAATTTGGCATGCATCTCATCTAGTTGTTCTATTTCCCTGAAGCGTAGATTAAGCTCAAAAGCTTTGCTTGTGATTCGCAAAAGTTGAAGAGCCTTTTCAGCAGAGGGATCGCGTCGTCGCAAGTACATGGCAGGAATGAAAGGAGTTTTCTGCTCACTCCATGCCTTCTGCGCCTCTGCATTAATGCGGGCCACCTCACAATCCCAGGACTCGGCATCCTTATCAGTCTGCGAGAGTTCCTTCTCCGCAGCACATCGAAATACCTTAATAAGTGCCTGGTGCGCTTCCTCCGTGGCGTCCAACACAGGCATCCAAAGGGCAGGCGCAACCCCTCTTCCCTAATGCTTTCCCTCTCCGCCCACTCCTGCGTAATATACACACCGAAAGGAAACCACAGCAAGGTTCCAAAACAAAAAGTCAGGATGCACGGAGAGATGCCGCATCGTTACTCGGACAATGAGCCATAAAATTGGAAGGGGGAAAAAACAAAAACAAAGCAAAAACATCCTCAAGTAAATAAAGAAGTTTTTTTTTTTTCGTATTCTTGACTTGTACCGCAGCCTCTCTCTCGCTGGGTCCCACCACCAACAAAACAGTAATGGAGAAGCACCCTCCATACACCCCACTCTGCCTCTTGTCTCACCAGTCATCCAGAGAAGACTATGAGGACAGACACCAGACCTCTTTCCATCCTGGGGTTCCTCAGAGCACCACCCGCTTCAAGGAGCTGCATTTATCTGCGTGCTCCCTCAAAACTAAATACGTCTGCTCGGCACAGGAGCGATTCATTTGCTCCCGCATAAACAGCAGGAGGACAAACACTAATGGAAGAAACGTCAGTATGTATTCTCGACGATGTTCCTCCCGTGCTTTCGCCTGCAGAGAAAGAAATCTCTCCGCACTTTGCTGTGCGTTCAGCACAGCCTCCCCAGAGTTTTTAAAATGCGCCTCAAGATCTCGAACATAGTGATTAATTTGTTCGCCGTACGGCGTTGTCGCGGGGTTGGCAGACGTGTTCCACTGTGACGGCGATGATGCGTCCGCCGTATTGACGCTCAATGTGCTCCAGGAAGATGGCGATGGGATTGGCTCCTCTTGACGAGGCAGAACTTTTGCCCGGAGAGCGGCCAGCAGCTTTCGCTTCAACATTTTACTCCAGCGTCCACCCCCCGTTCCTTGCACGATACGCTTGAGACCACAAAAAAAAAAACAAAGCAAAACAAAAAAAAAATAATAATAATCAAAAAAAGCCAACGGACAGTGCGCACGCCCCCTCCACACGCAAGGATGTTGAAAGAGAGGAGGGGGAGTGCTGTGGGTAGAGCAAGAACGACGTATACGCAGCGGTGGCAGCAGCTGAAGTTGATGGGCCATTAAACGGTTGGAGGGAAGAGAAAGATATTGCGGTTTTGGCGGTACATCAGTGAGTTAAAAGCAAACATGACTCATCGCGTTGCCTCAGAAAAATAGATGCGTGTGTTTGTATTGAGACATCATGTTAAACATGTGGTGGTAGTTGATGTAACGGAAGACTGAAGGTATTGGCTTGTGGGGTGTGGCAACGACAAGGTCTACACGTTTCAGATCCACTGAACAGAGTGTTCTTGGCTGCCAAACAGTGTCCTTCAGACAAGAGGGGTGGAAGAAGGAGAGTTGGAGAACAAAGGCAGCAGTGAGGTGTTTAGGCCGGAAGGAAACACTTGCACAGAGAGGTCAACAAGGCCCCCCCGTAGTGATGATTCTGTTTTCCCTCTCATTCCATAAATTAGTCGACTACACAAAACTATACACTTCGAAGAAGAAGAATGGAACAACACAATCATCCATATATATATATAATATATATATATATATGGCTATACATTGTTTGATTTCCCCGTGCAGCCTACATTCCAACAGAGCAACATGCAGTGATGTGACCACTCTTTCGCACTTTGCATCACTTATTTCTCATTTGTGTCATTCATGTCGTCGTCCTTCGCACGTCATTGCAAGTGTTGTGTGATGGACACCTCAATCATTTTATTGGTGGGGGAAAATTTATTCATGGGTTCACCATCAGCCTACATCGTAAAGTGTGCGGAGGCCACTATGCGTATACGCGCTCCCTGAGCAACTTTCCTTGCCATCTGTATATCCATTTACGCGCCAGCAGTGTGCCACACGCCGTATAGCGCGGTGACTTTCAGTAGCCCAACTCCAACGTCAGGCGCAAAAAAAAAAAAAAAACGTCCCTTGTTTTCTTCCCAGATAACGGCGCCACCAGCGTATGCTGTCATGTTAGTAATCACAAGGACCTTTGCCCCCGAGGGGAGAGAAACAGAAGTATCCTCTACATGTCACTCCATCTGCTTCTTTGGCAGCGTGGTCAAGGTCCACAGCGACCCACACGCAAAACAGCCGTACCATAACTTATTCCGGAAACGCCGCGCGCACAGCGCCGGGTGGCCATCGCGGAACACGCTGGATTGCTTTGACAATGACCGCATCAAAACTGATTGAAAAATAATTCATCATCCTTTTCCGTCCACGGCAGGCCCCACCAGAAGAAAAAGGGTCAAATACGTTCTCCTTGCCAAGATGTGTCGCCAGCCGCCCACCGACAAACTCCACCACTGTTTTTTTTTTCATTGATGAGATTCACGGTCAAATTATTCTCAGGCTGTTCCGTCTTGAGGTCCTTCTGCGCATCCGTCAACATTTTGTCACTGCAGCTACGCCAGTCCTTCTTCCCTTTGCCCTCGCCCACCCGCACCTCTTTCTACATACCAGAGATGTATCGCTTTGTAGTACAAACTTCCCGCATCAGAGCAACCAATGTGCACCCCAGTCTTAAAAATTGCAAAAACAAGGCAGCAAAAACGCAAACCACACACATTATGTGGCAAGAGGGTAATTGCGAGGCATCCTTCCTCATTCCAGCACGAGTTCCTTTTTCTACTCGCGCAAGTTGCGCGTCATTGTTGTGAGTGTGTCTCACGCTTAAGTAGTGTTTTATCTTTTTCGCTTAAGCATAATGTTCACGCACTCGCTCATCTCACCAATTATCCCTCTCTCTCTCTCTCTCTCTCTTTTGTTTTTTTTCTCTCTCTCTC